TAATGCGATATCTTTTTATTATAATTTTATTTACTCTATACTTATGGAGATATAAAATTTTCAGCTTTACCAATGACATTAACCCGACCCTTTCTTAAAAAACATGCCATGAATCATATAAGCAAACCGACAAAATTTCAAGTCGATCGGTGGGTAACTTTTGGATATTTTCGAAGTTTACTAGATTGATTTTTTTTTTTTTTCAAGAAAACATAAGATTTTTTTATTAAATATATATATATATTTTTTTTCGAAAGAAATGAGCGAAATTGTTTTATGGAAAAAACTAGTTATTAATTATTTACTAATTTGTAATATTTCTCTTTTTGATTATTTAGAGTTTTCAAACAATAATTTCATTATCAATATTTTTTAAAATTAACCTATTTTTCGTAATAATATTAGTAATAAATTTTATACGTATATACATTTTATATATTTTTTTCTGCACCATTTTACCATTTAAACATTTTCACGCCTTCAACAAAAATAAAATTTTTTTATTTAAAATTTTTTTTTAAATTCTAGCCAACCAGATTTCTTCAAACTACGTTGTATTTGTCACTTCCTATTTTCTTCATACCCAAATAAGCTTTATTGCTGTCTTTCCATTTAACTTATCTATTTAGCATTCAATTTATCTTCTTTTCCTTCTACACTCGCACCCAACTCTTTGCACAAAACTTGAATTTGAAAATCGTTGCGTTGCGCCCAATTTAATATCTAAACAATCGAGAAATGAAAGAGTCATTTTCACAGCTTATACCGGCCGATGGACGATGAATTCAACTCAGCACTTTTCGAAATTCACAAACCTTTCGAACAGATATCTACGTGCATGCATACATACATGTAGTATATATTGAAAATTTTGTATACCGCCAATGTACATGGCGTATACGTGACATTTTGCCTAACCACAGCAATACTTGTATAAACATATCACACATCTCATACATACCATATGCCTATATATCCTTTGTTTTGTGCTCTAGCTCTGCTTAGCATAGCAATTTGCATAGTTTTTGGTTTTTAAGATGGAAATGTAAATATATGTGTATACATACATGTGCATGTATGTGTATACTCTATTTATATGTTAGCTATTATATATTGACGTTCGAATTTACTCCTTGTCATCAGCGCTATTTTCAGCTGCTATTTTTGGCATGATTTATGATATTGAAAATCAAACTATTATTTTAGAGGAGATGACTGTCTTTTGTGGTTGATGGCTTTATTTTATATACATTTTTTTACATTTTATTTTCTTTTTTGACTAGAAATAGGTTAGTGATGAAGACATTCAACTGTATAAGTGGAATATCAGATAGAAATCCTGCAAGGAAAACCCTTTTTATTTAATATTTTTTATTTCAGTTCAAAAAAGCACTTCTGAGGCAAATGTTTTTCTAAAATATTGAAGAAAATTAAAAAAAAATATTTAAGGCAGTTTTCCTGTACGAATTCCATAAAATAAAAAATTCTTTGGAGTAAAATATTTGCCTCCAATTTTTCGGAGAATTTTTATTTTTCTATTATTTGTGTACAAGGCATTGATTTGTTGAGTAAATTTAGTTAAAAAATACCATAAGCCTTCCATTGCCCTGTTAACCCACTAGGGAGTCATCAGAGATGCTATGCATAAGTCTAATGTTTTGTAGTTAAATATTTTTTTTAACAGTGTTGATGTAGATTTTCTTGCGTGGCTTTAGGAGTTGTAGGTAAATTGATCAAATTTGATCAGTTCAACAAGGTTCAGATACTCTCTTTTTTTATAGACTTTGCTTATACCTTCTTTTCGTTGCTTAGCAGCGGTTGCAAATACCAATAAAACCAGCTCATTATTTATTTGATAATTTCCTCTGCTTATATTTGTGGATACTGCATCGAAAACTATCAACTTTTAAGTACTTTCATCCATTCGGGCGGCATGGCATAGCCAGCCTAGCTGCTACATCTTTATTGGCTGAACAATGCCAACCTGTATTTTGTACAGCTGCACGTTCCATAGGCTGTGGTGAATTTTCACAAAACTTTTCATACGAAAACTACCAAGACCTGCTCACCAAATGTCGATATAGTGGAATCTTATGCAATATAGAATAGGGCGTGATTTATGAAGCGCTTGTAGAGTATGGTTTTGCTTCATCTAGAGAGCGAACTTTGCTTACCCATTCCCTACTCAATCCAAAGAATAGCAGGCACCTGTTGGCAAGAGTGATACTGCGTTGGAGCCCAAGATTGATAGATGACGTTTTTTGTGATTTTATACTCCTTAAAATGCAATCAATCAATTCATTTTTCTTTATAGAAAACCCTAGTGGATAGTAATAAAATTTTACGGTCGAAAAATTTAAAAATATTTTATTACAGTATTGAGCGGTTGGGTTAGTAAATAACAAATTCTATCAAGCGTTTATGGCTTCCCAAATATTTATTAAAAGAAATCAACGTTTTTTTAATTTATATAATTTTTTTTTTTGTGAGAATCGAGTTTGTTTTATTAAAATTAAGTATTTTTGGCTCAAATATATTTAAAAAAAAATTAGTTTTATTTTTGAAAATTTATGTATAATTTTTATATATTTGTAGGCTTGTAAATTTGGAAATATATATATATATATATATATATTTTTTTTTTTTTTGGTCCAAAAAAGTTATTAATTATTCATAATTTTTTAATTTAAAATATTTTTATTTATATTTAGTATTTAATTAGAAATATTGAAATTTTAGTACTCAAAACAGCGATTTAATAATTTTAAAAAATCTTTAGTTAAGAAATACATAAAACGGGTAAAATTTTACTGCTTTAATACCGTTACCATGTCGCTCAAGAAAACACAGTGAATTTAGCTGATTTCCTAAAATGAACTGGGTTTTATTACGTGAAAATTTCGAAAACAACTGCACTTTTTTTTCTTCTTTTTTAGTAAAATTTCCAACTTACAATACCTCAACTACTGAAAGGCTCTTAGCAAACCCGAATTTTCGCTTTATAGTCTCATTTTTTCGCTTCAGTTTTGTGACCAAAAACCTTTCAGTAAACGTCTTTTACGACCAGCTTTCAACAGACCGCAGCGTTAAATTTATTTCAATCAAAATTTTACTGAACAGAAATCTTAGAAATTAAATTTTCGTTATGTAATATATACAAAAAGTAACAACAAACATATAATATTATAAATATAGCTCAGTCGTATTTACAAACAAAGTTAAATGTAGCAGAGCAAAGTAATCCGAAATTTCCAATGCATTACAAAATAATTTCATACATTAAATCACTTTCCAAAGGGCAAACGATGATTCAAACAGCTGTCAGTTATATACATAAATATATTTCTACTTCTCTTGCAAGGTTAAAAAATAGAGTGTGAGGAATTCTATTTCTTATTCCTGGAAAATGGCAAGCTGGCAGTTAGACTTTGATATAAATATGTGAGTGTTTGTACGCTAAAGAACCATACGATATTGTGTGCATAAATACGTAGTTATCTATGTTACAACTTTGTTAATATATATTTAATATTGAGAATAAAAAGGGCATTGAATGAATATCAATAAATAAATATTATATTAAAAATTCTATTTTCTTTATTAAATTGCAAACAAATATGAAAATATGTAGTTAAGTATGTATTTTGATGTACAGCAAATAAGTAGAGCAATGCCACCGATGACATTTTTTAGTTTGTATTGAAAATATGTACGCTCGTAGAAGACGGTTTTCCGCATTGAAGGTTGAAACAGATGTTACGTATACGCCCTGTCAGCTCTCAATCAGTGCTCAATGCTCAACAAATGACTGCGTTTTGGTATTTAAAAAGCTTTTTTAAACTTCAAAATTACGCATACAGCTCTCAAGACGTCCACAAAAACTGTATATGCTTTGATTCTTAAGAATTTAAAGAAAAAAACCCCAAAAAAAAACTTTAATCACAACAAATTGCTAGCAATTTTTCAACTTGAGCCTATGATCAGGCGGAATAAGTTCACGTCGTCAAATAGATGTCACAGAAGACCCAGAAAATAAGTCGTTACAACTTGTGTAATCTTAAGGGAGCAAAAGGAAAAGAGGAGAGAGAAGGGCCGACTAGGGATATCTGTCGTTAAAGGCGATAAAAAAGTTCATGCGACAGTCATTGCGGCGACTTCTTTCATATTCACTATCCGCATGAAGAAAAGTATTAACTGATTCTCTGTAAATTGTGTTTAAGTCCCATGGGTAACCCGTCCGGCTCATTGATTCAGTGGCATAGTTGTGAATTCAATCGGTTTGGTGAGGTACTCCCTTTGCAATGTATCTGGAAAGTAGTAGCAGTGAGCATAGACGCCGAACAGGAGACATGAGAAGGCGAGCTGTTGCAGATCTCAAGGTTTTGCTTTAACGGGCGAACAACTTCTGCATATATGTCTCGCTAGCAACCGCTGTCTAAATTAATGTCGAGTAATTTCTATTCGACTCGTCCTGAGCATTGTCAATATTGATATGATAGTGAGAGCTTTAACATATATTAAATAGCAAAAGCAAATGACAGGAAATAACTGAATATGCAGAAAATACATTCAATAACAAAGCATGGTGGAATTAAAACTTTGAAATCTCTCCAAAATAATTCTCATATACCGCTTATAATTTAAATTTTACTAATCTTGCTTTGATAAATAAATTTGATCCTAAAGGTATGCTATGTATATATGAAACAAATATTTTTTTTATGAATATAGAATGCTTAGATAAAGCATAATTTTAGGCGCATTTTTTCATAACATGGGTTCTTTTAAAGTCTTCTCAGCGGGTTTATAAATTTCGAAATCTTTTTTTACTCCACTGAATAATTTTGACCAAAACCTTGGCATATATTTTTAACTATTTTCATAATTTGAGTTTAAACTTGAAAAACTATTTGCTATAATTTTGTCTTTAATTTAACAACATCATCATACAATTTTTTTATTTCATTTAAAATAAACGCACTCTCCATTCTTCCTTCCAGCAACTGCCCACACGGTACGCCATCACGTGTGCCCCTCATCTCTGGCAGCAGTGCGAGCGCCAATGCTAATGGACATAAGAACAGCAGCAACGCAGACGATGACCAACGTGGCGCACGCAGTCTCTTCAATGCCACCGCCGCATCTTTCCACCGTCACACGCTCAACACCTTCCAACGTAATTCAGCGGCACGTAAATCAACCGCATACGCGACAACACGCCGCAACGGCTGCAATATGCATGCAAGAGCAAAGGTGAGCAGTTGTTATGGTGATGCAGCCACTGAGACCTCGGACGATGGTGAGTGTGATGACGTTGGCGCGGAGACTGCGTATATGCAACGCACAGCGACGCACGCGGGCGAAGAATTCCGTTTAGCAAATCTCAGTGGTGGCAAAAAAATCACAACAACACGCGACCACACGACAGACGAGCACGCTTACTATGATACCGATGCGACAACAGACGATTTGGATGACGATGAGAATGATGTCGGCTCGAATGCCGACACCGCCGCCGTCGCCGGTGATGGTGATGACGCCGGCCCACAGGTGCCCATCAGCATAGTGCTGCTCATACTCATTTGCTACATTTGCTTGGGCACGGTGATTTTCGCCTTCTGGGAGAATTGGTCTATTGTGGATGGCGCCTACTTCTGCTTTGTCACCTTGGCCACCATCGGCTATGGCGACTTCATGCCCGAGCGCACCTTTCATGGGCCGCATGTACAGCTCTTCGCTTGCTGTGCTTATCTGCTGTTGGGCTTGGTCTTGGTCGCCATGTCGTTTAGCATATTGGAGACACAGTTGATGTGGAAGTGCAAACGGATTGCGGTGCGACTGAAGTTGGCCAATGATTGATAGTGGCGGCGCTGGTGGCGACTCTTGTTGGAACGACGCAGTGACGTCGGTGTGATGGCGCAGTTTTTTTAGATGGAAAAATGAAGAAGAAGAATCTGTTGACGAGGGGTTGAATTGGTAAAATAATAATAAGCGCGACGTACAAAAAAGTAAATAAACTAAGTAGATATGTATGTATAGAGTTTATGTGTAGGCGTGTAAATATTTATAATCTATGTATAAGGCGAGCCAGAGCGTTAAATGTAAATAGAGCTTAGCGCTAAGCATTTTACGTACATAAGTATACCATTAGCTTAGAATTATATGTAAGAGAAACAAAGCAGTAACCAATGTTAGGTAAGGCAGACGGTATAAGAAGAATTTATATCACACTCAGAGAAATCACTTTTCAGTGTTTTTTTTTTATTATTATTACACAGCAGGATTAGAGGAGGATTAACGAACAGCCAACTAGTTACGCGAGGTGCCAGGGTTATGTTCCAATCGTTTTTTTTTTTTTTGATTTAATTAAAATTTTTAAAGGCTTCTTCGGAGTGGTGTTCCTACACACGCAATTAACCCCAGACATTTAATACTCAATAATCTGTTTTGGGCTATTATATTTCGCCTCTCCTAACTCACACCTTTTGAGCAAATGAGAAGCTATTCTCCTATACGGAGCACCAAATTTCTAAGCTTTGTGAACGTCACCGCTTTACTTGGTGTGCCTTTTTCTTTAACATATGGCCCTTCCTCACCTTTGGCATATCGTTGAATATAAAATTTTGTACAAAAACTAGTTTGAAAAAAAAATGTCATGCGAGATCTTTTAGTTTCCCACCAAAGAAATAACCTCTGAATAGTTTTTGAAGTATTCTTACCAAAAAAACAATTGTTTTAAATTTATTTTTTTCTTATCTTTCTCAGCTTTCACTCTCGCTACTGTGTCCTAACCCTCTATATAGCATAAGCATATAATAATCACAAGTTACAACATAAATAGTGAATTTAATAACTATACCTAAGCCAACAATTAAGTGTTTATAAATATATTTGTATGCTGGTGTAGATAATAAATATAAATAGATTTAATTATGGCAATAGCAATAAAAAATAATAGCAACATATGAAAATGAAAACCAGATTATATTGAAATATCTTTAGTAAAATTATGCAAGTAATTGTCTATTAGTATATATTAAAAAAATATATAATAAATAAAATAAAATTAAATACATCAAATAAACATAAACACAATAAAAAAAAAATTAATACAAAATAATTTAAAAAATTAAAATAAACTTAAATAGTTCAAGAAAATAAAAGCAAATAAAAAAAAAAATAAAATAAAATAAAATAAAATAAAATAAAATAAAATAAAATAAAAAGAAAAAAGTAAAACAAAATAAAATGAAACAAAAAAATAAAATAAAACGAAGAAAAAATTCAAAATTTAAATAAAATTTAAATAAATTATATTAAATAATTAAAACTAATTATAACATATAATTAAATAAAATTAAAATGATTAAAACAAAATCAAATCTATTATTAATAAATTAATCAAAATAAAATTAAATTAAATTGAATATAGAAAAAATTAATAAAATGAAATAGAATAAAATAGAGTAAAATATAAAACAATAAAATAAAATTTAAAAATAAAGAAATAAAATTATAAAATTCAAAACCAAATAAAATAAAAGAATCGATAAAATAAATAAGACAAACCTTAATCAAATAAAATAATCTAAAATAAAAAGTTAGATTAAATTAAATTAAATGAAATAAACAAAATAAAATAAAACAGATAAAAACAAATAAAACAGAATACAGTAAAGGAAAATAAAAAGCAATAAAATAAACCAGAATAAAATAAAACAATTTAAAATTAAATAAAATTGAACTACAAAAAATAAAATATAAGTAAAAACTAAGAATTTAGTTCCGTTAAATTAATTTAAGTAAAACAAAATGGAAATAAATAATTAAAATTAATAATAAAATCAAACCAAAAAATGTAAATTCACACAAAATAAAACAAAATGAGTTGGAATAAACTAAATAAAATGAAATAAAACAAAATAAAATTAAATTAAATTAAATAATATAGAACAAAATAAAGGTTAATTAAAATAAAATGAAATAAATTAAACAAAAAATAAAATTAAATAGTTGAATTAAAAAAAATAAAAATAAAATAAAATAAATCTGTTAAAGTAAATTAATATAAAAAAAAAGTTCCAATAAACTAAAATCAAAAAATATTAAATGAAATCCTATCAAACATAATAAAATAAAACAAATAAAATAGTATGAATGTAATATTTTTCATATAAATAAATACTTATGTTTAAGTACTATAAAAGTTATAAAAATATTAATTTTAATAAGTAAGTATTACGTAATTATGTAATGATGTATAGCCAATAGCTAATAACGAAATCATTGTATAGTAAAAATACCACAAAAATACAAAAGACATAATAGAAATTAATAAAATAAAATGATTATTTATAAAGAAAATTAACTTTATCATATGGTTTTACTGATATAATTGAAAGCAGTGGTAAAATAATTTAAAGGTGATACTGGCGTCTCTCATAAATTTGTGAGACTCACTATAGTCAGATCAATTGCCCCTAAAATTATGCAAAAACTAAAGACAATTTCATTGATTTTTTTTTTTTTAAGAAATTAATGAATGGTGTACTGAATTTCAAGTAACTCAAAAAAAAATTACGATTTTATCGAATAGGTTAGCTCCTGGTACACTTCCCGAGAAAAATTTTTCTAAAAACCATAAAAACAAACTGACAAAATACCCCTTATATATCAAATCCACAAGCTAAGTAAAGTGGAATCAGCTGAGTGAGAGCACAGCATGTACAGAAGATGATACAGATGACGTTGGAGCATTAATTTTGGCGAAGGTTCGGCCTTCAGCCGGTTGAAACACCGTGAAAATTGTACCTACAAATTCAAGCTTACCCAGATGGGCACACATATTTGGAGGAAATTAAAGAGCTTATTAAATCGAATGAAATTTTCGCAAAATATTAACCAATTCTGTGGGTGAAAACAATAAGTGTATTCCTTGGCAAAGGCGCAGACGCTTGTGGTCAGGTACTCATCCTCCCCTTTCAACGAAATAACGAATGAATCTTCCGGGTGTATTTGAATATACCAGAAAACAAATATTTAAACATATAAATATAATATTTTTTTTATTTATTTGGAATAGAAATTAGATTAAATCAAAAGCTTGTGAGAGAGATTTCTGCTCAAAGAAATAATTAAATAAAAATTAATGTACAAAATAACACTGGAAATTCACACTTTTTTTCGAAAGTTTAAAATTTTATTGAATTCGAAACATTAATCTAATTAAAATGTGTAATAGTAAAATATTAAATGCACAAAAAATTTTTGCTTTGATATTTCTCTAAAAATTTAAAAGGTTCATCTGCAAAAAAAAAATTAAAAAATTCATCAACAATTTATATACTCGTACATAGCTGTTTGCTTAGCTGCCAATATTTACATATTAATATAATTCATTACCGGCGGTGTTTACAGGCAATTGAAAATAAAGTCCACTGGGAGTAGAAAAACTTGCATAAAACCCAGTAGGAAATTCTAAGCTTGCTATTGATTTCTTTTCATTTTATTTTATTATCTCTTTTATTATTATTTTATTTAATTTTTTATATAGATCACTGAATGAAAAAAAAATCCCAGGACTTTAAAATCTATTTTAAAAAGCCTACTAATTTTATAAAAAAAAATTATTAAAAAAAATTATGATTTTTTTTCTTTTAAAAAGACGGTAAGATAGAGAATTGCAATTTTCAGCAACGAAAGAAATTTTCAGTGCCAGCACCTGCTGGACTGATGACCCCAGTGCTTTCCAAAGTAATTACGCATAGACTAACTCAGCATATATTTACTCCTCATAGATTTACCCTCCATAGACTTACTCTAAATATATATAATATAATGCCATCTATGGCACCTTTCTAGTTTATCGGTAGTTTGATGGGAGCGCAAGTCTATGGGGAGTAAAGCTATGAGGAGTAAATATATGATGAGTTAGTCTGTGTGTAATGACAGAACGGTCTACTGCATAACCTGCAATGACTTCATGAATGGCCAGGAAGTACTCATGCTGGACACGTATTAATGAGGCAGGATTGTTGTAGCAGAAGTAGAATCGCACCACTGCCATACGGGTGGGTCAAAGCTATACAACCGACTCGGCAGTGAAATAAGAGAAACTTGATATCAGCAGATCCTTACGATTGCTGGTGGACAGTAGTGTTTTTCAAGCAGAAGCTGTCAATTTTCTAAGTGTAATCTACTCTCAGTGAATTCTATCTATATTTGCATGGGTAGCCAGACAGCACGAAGAGCCTCGGAATCTATTGTATTAACATCAAAAGTGGCAGGTTATTGAGGAAATTCACTAAATGTGTTGACTAAACAGTTTCTACTGAGACCCTGACATGGGTGACGAAATGTTGAACAAACCTGCAGGGCAGCGCATTTTCCTACCACACCGCCATCCCTCAAAGGTCTAAGCAAGCCGCTCCCCACTTGTGAGCTCACTATTAAATGGGTTTTTCACTGACGACGCTAACTCCAGATTGATGAGTAAATAGAATAATGAAGCAGGCATGGAATAAAACTAAGTTGAGAGTGCCTATCGCACTAAGAAGAGAAGAAATATTTAGAAATATGGGTCTTCTTATTGTACATCTTTTATTAGGTAGCCACATCATAAGAACACTGCAGGTATTTGTTCACCGTCCGGCTCCTTCCACTACCTTAAGACGCTTACCCTTCGAATAGTTTGCGATTCGCAGATATAAGGTAAAAGTCTTAAATTATCCTTGCCATATGGCTAGGGTAAATTTGGTCGTCAAGGGATGAAAGAAAGACGATGGAGCTCATGTCATTAAAAGGGAATGAAATATTAACAAATTATGGGGTCTTTGAAATAATAAATATAATTTTACGTAGACACACATGGAGACAAGGCGTACTATCAAATTACTACTGCTTCTTGTAGAGCGTGAGAAGAGCCGAAAGAGTATGTTGAAGTCTTTCAGTGTGGACATCGCTAGTGATATAACATTTGCTACAGTGACTCCTCAGGGTGGTTTGACTAGCAATTTGG